GACATGACTAACTGAGTTAACTACTGACATGATTAACCGAGTTAGCTACTGACGTGAGTAATTGAGTTAACTACTTCAGGTCTAGCAGTTCTGTATACTGACAAGAACCTCTTTAACGTGAACTTAGCACATTTCACCTGTACTTTCAGCTAGCTTTGTTTAGGTCTAAGTATTTTAGATCAAAAGTAAACTAACCACGGAAAGCATAATTAAAATGTAACTTAAAAATCAATAGAGCTAATTCTATATAATGAAATGACTGGAAGTTTAGAACGTCGTAAATCAACACATAATGTATTTAATCATTAGTCGAGTATTCTCACTGTTAGCGACATATCAGTCTAGGATATTTAGGTTAATTCTAAACCCATATATGGCCAATGCTCTTCCGCTAACCTATCTAACTTATAATCCAAGAATATAAGCCATCGCTGTCAATGTTCACTTATGAAGATCGGTATTATGAGTATGATCACTATACTGTGTTATGATAAATACACAGATCAAACCGTAAGCTGTCTATCACAGACCTAAATTATTTTAACTTAGTTTAGGAAACAATGAAAGGGGCAATATTTAACATTAAATGTGTTAAGTGAAAAAGCCGATAAGCGAAGAGAAACTTCTGGATCGCGACTTGAACACAGGATCTCTGGCTAATAGGGCCAGTACTAACCATATTCATAATGAGAAGCCTTATATAAGTGAACATTGATAAATACGTTTTGTTCTCTCTGATATCTCAATGGTGGAGTATTTACCCTAATTCCCAGAGGCCCTGGGTTGAAGTCCCGATCACAAAGTCTCTTTTCACTAATCGACTTTTTCACTTAAGATATCTGATGTTGAAATTTCACAAATAAGTCAACGTTAATCAATAAATAAGCAAACATTTTTACTGAGATCTCCGTTTAAAAACTACTCTATATATTTCGACGACAGGATTCGGTGTTTTAATCAGGAATATTTCAGTTGTAAATTCAATCAATCAATTATAGAACATTTCAAACAAACCTGGCACCAATACCAATTACATATAAAACTCGGTGCTCCAATCAGCTTCTAATGAAAGAAAAACTGATTTACAAGCTTTGAGCTTTTAATAGCCTAAAGGAAACACGATTGAGTATTATTTTTTATATAATTGTTAAGCTATTTCTATACCTTTTTAAATCTTGAAACGTTTTTATATTTGATTTCATTCGAGTGCTAATATTATGTTTATTCTAAATTTCACAACACATTTGATTTTGAATGAGTGAGGCTTCCCACAGTATTATCAGCGAGCGACCTCTTTGTATCGCCCGACTTGGACGCCATCAATTTTTTTTAGCTTGCTTTTGGTAGTTCGCAGTATTATTTACTTTTTCAATGATACGATACATAGATAGCTTTTAAAACATAGTTACTGTTTTTTATAAGAGGTGAAAACAAAAAACGTGTAAGTATGTTTAAAAATAAAAAAATCAAAGTTAAATATCAAAGAAGAAAACGTGCCTATCATTTTTTTCAGAAGAGTCTCAAGTATTATTTCAAATTAACAAAATTACTTCGATTTTAATCCTTCGAATGAAACTGTTGGTTCAAATCACCGGACAAGTTTTTTTTTCTAGGGGAGATTATCTTCTCTACCATTAAAAGCGATCTTTAAAGGGATGCAGGTAAATAGGTAAAACTAGACCACCGTGACCCGTTGGGTCAACCACTATTCAGAGGTTATGAAGAATTCAAGCTGATTTCAATATTCCACTGAAATGAAGGTTTATTTTGAGATAATTTGATTAAATATTTCAATCCATTCGTGTCATTCATAATTCAAGAAAATATATTTAATTGTTGATCGAGAGTAAAAGGAAAGACCATTTCATTTTTCAAAAAATTGAAGTAAGAAGTTTCGTAATGAGCGCGAACGGTAGTGTGAATGATTTTTTGACTGAGAAAATAAGCAAACAAACAATCTCAGAGTTTTAGTAGTATACAGATAGATTCTTCAAGATCTTGTTTTTGTCATCTTACGCCTTTTAATGAAGATTGGAACATTGACAGGGAAATAATATAATAGCCAAAGGTTTTCGTTTATGAAATTTTGTTGTTGTTCTCGACTTGATTTTTATTTTATTACCTCATCTCATTAGTAACTATTTGCAAATAGTCAATAATATTGTAGGTTCATTTTATTGTTGTTCTTTCTACGGCCGTTATAGCACATTTTTATCTCATCATTTAATTTCTGTTGTGCATATATTGTTGTATATAAGATATTTTATACTAATTCATCAGGTGGAAAACGAAGTTTTATAATAATGGAATGTACGAAAAGTGTCCAGAAAAACGGCGCTAACTCGGTAACCCATGGCCCGATTTTAACAAAACTTGTTTTATTCTGTTTCTATTCTCATTTAATTACAAATATGGCACTATTCTGCGCCGTTTTTGCTGTATTTAATTACAGACAAGCACGCAAATAAACAATCTCAGCGTTTTAGTAGTATATAGATTATAAAGGTCTTTTTTCCCCAAGCACCACTAATCTTTTGAACTAATCATAAATTGGAAAACTAACAACCATTAAACCACTAGGTCAACTAACAACCATTAAACATGCTGCTAAAATCTGCGAATAATTCCATGTTGAGTGTAGACTAAGAGGAAAACGAGATGTTTCTTTGGAAAGTTAAAACGAGGAATGGGATGTACTTTTTCATAAAAAATGGTAAGGTTTTAAAGAAAGAGTGAAATGTACTTTTCATAAAAATTGGTAAGGTATAAATTCAGAATGGAATGTACTTTTCATAAGGATGCATAAAAGTATGAAGAAATAATACACGTGGAAGATTTTCATAAACATAGCTTCGTCCCAGAATACATACATACAAGAACAGAGATGTGACAACTATTTGTAGTATCTTCCGAACCTGGAACTTCTTATATGATGAATGAGAGTATATCACGTGAGCTAAACGATTTACTTCCTAATACCTCCTGATAAGGCTGTCACAGAGAACCATAACGTCTGTTTACAATGACACTTAGTTTAAATGGTTCTGAGTAAATTTCAGGGTAAGCGTTTTGGTTTGAATCTAAAATATGGAATCTCTGGAATGAAATGTAGAGGCTTTATATTTGAGAAGAACATGAGAATTTCGACTGCAAATAGTTTATTTAATATAATATAATTATTAAAAATATCAAAATAAAACATATATGAATCTAAGTCTCAAATTGACAGCAACTGTCTGTTTAAGAAACCTACAAATGTAGAGGACGACGTTTCGAAAGTCTTCCGCCTGAATAAGAAAGGCGGAAGACTTTCGA